GTTGTACATGCAGAGCCACTGATGGATTCCAAATTTAAAGTATGCAGCCTTTGTTTTGCCTTTTTCATATGCATTTTTTCCGTGCATCTAAACTACAAATTGCAACTCTCTCTGTGGTTTCTGTGCAGTTCTGTATTTATTTCATTTCCTTTTACTCAGCCACCTTTATGAAACGGTTTCTTACTCATATTTTTACTCTTTTTTTTTTTTTCCTTTCAGTTTGAGAAAGGGCTGGATTGAGATGTAAATACTACAAGAGAAAAAATAATTAAAAGTGTGATTTAAATTTAATAGATTACGTGTGAGGAAGTCATTCATTACTTCACAAAACCTTTTCTCTTTGTAAACAAGATGTTTTTATTTGAAGGGTAAATGAGTTACAGCAGAGAACAGGTCAAATTCAACAGGTATAGCTATATATATTAATGTATGTATATATTTGCTTATATTTACAATAAGTCTTTATTGGATTAACTAAAGAAATTACATTTGGCTCGATATAAATGTCCCCAAAAATGTCCTTCAAAATGTTAGCATGAAAAACTCCCCAAACAGTCTGTATAAGTTCTTTTAGTATGTACAGTAGCTCAAATTAGCCACGAGCAGACAAACAACCTACTATAATAACTAATATCAAACGTATACTGAAAATTAAGTTTCATTTGAAGAAGACTAAATGTTTTAAATGTGTTAACATGGTATATCATCTGGGGCTCAAAAAATCTCTGCTGGAAAATCTTTACTTAAATATATTTTCACAGACACATTTCACTCACATTTCCTTCATTGATGATACAATCCAAACGTTTCAGATGCTGTTAAAGTCTTTATATTATTACGGTATGTGTATAAAGTGGTTACTGATATTTAACTATAGTGAGTATGGGTTTCACAGGCAGAACAGATTGAGCAGATAGTTGCTGGTCTGAGCAGTTTTCTACCCTTCGAGCTGTTGCTGCAGCTGAAGCGATCCGTGGCTGGGGTCCTTCATCTCCTCACCTGGAGAGCAGGGCAGGCGGGGGTCGGCTGTCTGGACCAGGGACACTTGGCAGGTCACTGGTTCTACACGCACCTCGCACCACGCAGGGAAGTCCACCGGCCGATGCACCCTGGACGGTTATCAAGGTAAAGGAGAAGAGTTTTTCAGGCGCTCTTACAGCTCAAAAAAGCTATATTCGTCGTAAACTCCTACTCATACACTATTTGACTCATCTCTGGTTCAGTGTCACACAGTAACAAAATCAACCATCACCAGAGATTGCGGGCTTTGGTATTGATCTTCAAAAACAGACAATTAAAACAACGGGCCTGAATAAAGGCATACAAACTGATCTTGAGCCCTTATGCAAGTGGTTTAAAGTAAGTACATTTATACAAGCACTGTGCTTAAGTAGAGTCTGAGGTACATGGTACACTTTATACTTAAGAAATGTTGCAGTTTTTGCTTCAATACTTTTATTTCACTTATTTATAGTTACTAGTTACACCGCAAATTATTTAAAGTATTGTAAAATATGATTATTAAATATGATATAATATTAAGGATGTGTCCTTAATCATCCCAACAGTATATATAGTATATAGTTCCAGTAAGCCTACAGCAATAGTAATAACACAATAATATAACGAAACACTCTGTCCATGCTTTTACTATTTGTAGGTACATTTTGCCAGTAGTACTTACTTAGTTTATCGCCAATTATGTTTTTACACATACAAGGAATTTGCCTTGGTGCATTGGTGCATAAGAATCACAAAAAATCATATCTATCTATCTTTATTTATCAAATATAAATAAAGATAAAGATTAAGATAGAAAAATCTAAGCTGTACAAGTACACGGACACACAAATTTCCCCAAGAAGACTCATCAATTTAGCTCCACTACCATGAAGTAAGTTATAATACTTTGTTCAGTCGATCTGAAGCCAGCTGCAGTAGAGTAACTGTGGGCATCTGGACACCAAACCACACACAGGTTGTTTGTGTACTCACGTCTCGCAGCAACCTACACCGACAGGGTGCAGACAGGTGCACTGCATACAGGCGTTGTCCATCCAGGTTTCACCCAGTGAGTAGTGCCTCCCCTCAAAGGCACACAGGGCTGGAACACAACACAGTTTACAAAAAAAAAAAAAGATATATTAGATATATATGTTTTATTTTTAATGATAGATTTTAGAGCGTGGGATCTCACCTCTGGAGTCGAAGTGGCACTCCATGGGTGCAGCAGATCCACCGCTGGTCCACAGAAGAAACCCTGCAGCTGCGAGCACAAAGTGAACCCCGGCGAGCTCCATCTTCATCTTCGTCTGGTCGGCCTCTGGTCCCTCTTCTCCCTTTCCTCCCTTATTTATACATCCTGAGGCTTTACGACCGCGGCGTGGAGGTGTGGTCAGCACTGTCATGTGGCCCACAGGCCTGGCTGAAGAAGGTGTCAGCGGTGCCATCCATTGGGGAATGAGGAGGTGGGGGATCTTGTATCTTGGCGCTGTTTTTGGGCACTGTGGAGATCACCTCGCTGCGCTTCAGTGGGCATGAACCTCCAAAGTGATAGAAACAATGACACATCCAATGCAATGACTAAGAGAGGGAAGGGAAGGAGAGAGGTGAGATGGAGGGCAAGAGAGAGAGAGAGAGAGAGAGGTGACGTCCAAGGAGAGTAGGAGGAAGACAGAAAGAGAGAGGGAGGGATGGAATTATCAAACATGATTCATCACCATTCAAACTCTCATATAGTTTTATCAGCCAGGTCCAGAAACTGAAGATGTGGCCAGTGCACATGTAAAACACATGCCTAAATATTGGTGTATGACATCACTTAACTTAATGTATATACATACAGTGTCGCTATGGTTACTAAGTCACACAGGAGACAAATTAAAGGAACACTTATTAAATTAGGGAAGAATCATATCATATACAGATGCTTCCGTACAAGGTACAAGTAGTTACTGAATGGTTGATGAGTGTGAAAATGTTGTGAATAAAATGCTGTCACCAGGTCTGATCAGGATCTGATAGGTTGAACTGGAGAAGTTAATTTTTTCAATTAGAGAATAAATGACAAGCACTGAAGCTGTTCTGTATGTTCACACAATAGTCTGTGTACAGTATATTTATGTGTAAATACACATGACACTGTCTACCTTGGCAGATTCACTTCATTAACTCCAGGCTGTGACCTCACGCGAGGAATGATGGACAGGAGTGTGTCAGAAACATATAAAGACTTAACCTATAAATATATATTGAATTATATTTTTTATAGTCATCATGTTTGTAGTAGAGCTCAACTGATATATCAGAGGATCAGTATTATCAGCCAGTTTTGGGTTTTTATGAGTACAATTAAAAGATTAAAAACAAACATATTGCAGGACAAAAAGCACTTTAGTCATTTAGAAAAGGGTACTTACACAGTTTTTGTATACAGATTAAACAAACAAGATAGAACTTGTTAATGAACAAACTTTAGAGAGATGCTGGATGGAAGACTGATTTACCTTTCGCTTTGCACAGAGCCAGGCCAACTGTTTCCAATCTTTATGCTAAGCTAAGCTTTTTACCTGCTGTAAAAGTGGTATTGATCTATTGAACTATTCCTTTAAGGATAAAGTTAACCAAACAAAATTATCATCACAAGGTCTCATTGCTTGTTTTTACTGGGGTGTTCAGCAGTGTCTCACATCATCATCTTCAATCGCTGATGAAGGCCGTGAGATTTGTCTGAAAGCTCTGGGAAAAAGTAGGTGCACATCGTGATAAAAGTGGTTTTTCCAAGGCCAAGAATGAAACTTTAAGCTCAACTTTAAAGACATAAAACTATGTTGTTAGCACTCTAATACACTGTTGCTAGCATTTTATCACAAGAGTGTACCAATATACATATCTGTACATTATAATTTGGCCAATATATCCTTAATTTCAAGGACTGTTGTTGTATCCAACATCAGCCCCAAGAATCCATTATCTTGGACTCTAGTAAACTGTATGTGTGCCTTTCTGTGTGATCTTTGTGTCAACTCTCACAAGTTCATCCCTAGAAAAACATAAAAAATATTTGACCTGACCATGTAGCGCCATCTGGGCCAACAAAACATTAGCTCATCTTCTTCCAGTTGTTTGCTGTATGCAGCTTGAGGTGCGAGATCATAGGAAAAATCCTCTCAAGCCTTTTACAGGAGGCCTTGGGGCCTCATAACGTGGTGTTTTACGTGCCTTTTCTCTGGTACCTCCACAGTAGTCCGAGAGTGTTGATAGTTCTCCCTCATCAGTGAGGGATGCTTTTTCATTCATATGACTCATACTTCCCTCTCTCAAGCTGCCTTTTGTTTTGATGAAGACCTTTTGTTGTTCAAATACTGCTGTTATTAATATGATCAATATTCAGATAACAATAGATAATAACACCTAATAGCAGAGATGGTTTGAGCCTTTCGTAGGTCAGTTTGGATCAGTCAGATGTTGTTATTCAGATGCTGATTCAGAGGATGGAAGATGTTTTAATGGCAGATGTTCTTCCAGAAGTTCAACTCGGGTGGTGCTGACCTCTTCCCGTACAATACACAGACGATGAGTTCACACCATGTTGTCGTCAGCACTGATGAAAAGGGAGGACCTCATCAAAACAAACTATGAGGATTTTCCTGTCACACGCCTGTGGCCCTTCACGGACGTGCACTTAATTGGTGACAAGTGCGTTTTAATTTGATAAAAGTTAAAAGGGCTGTCATCATGTTGGGATCTTTAATCTTTAATAAGAGAACTGCTTTGTTGGGACTTCTTAATAGTAAATACATATCTTCCATCTAGACAAACTGTACCCTAAGACTTCATTACAACTGAGCAAACTCACCCTGCTGATGATTGGGTTTGATTGTTAAAAGCTCCAGAGAAAAACAGTAAGTGGACCTTGATTTGGTAGTGTTTTGTCAAATTAACAGAAAATGTTTGTCTTCCTCTACAAATAAGATAAGTTAAAATATAAAATAAGATGTACCTTTATGGATCTCCCATAGGAGAAATTCAAGTCAGACACAGCAGCATGGGCGAATGTAAAGAGTGCAGTAGTGGAAGTACAATAAAGATCACAAAATAAGAATATTAACAAAATATAATAGAAAATATAAGACTATAAGTGAAAAATATACACACAAATAGCATTTGTCACAGCTGTTTTTTTAATGGCTTTATTAGATTTTAAAACAGATATTATTCCTATTACTACAAAACACTGCATCAGTGATATTTTTATATACATATATATATATTATTTAAATATATATATAAATAACAATATTTATTATTTATATATATTATTATATATATAAATAATATATATATATAAATGATATATGTTATTATATTATATATAATATATATTATAATGTATATTATTATATATAAATTATATATGTTATTATATATAATAATATATTATTATATATTTATTATTATATATATAAATAATATATATTATTATATATAATAATATATTATTATATATAATAATATATTATTATATATAATAATATATTATTAT